GGAACAGCAAGGTGTGACCCGGGGAAGCAACCGGGGACTGACGTCAGCTATTGCCCAATAAAATGTGTGTGGCTGAAGTACTAAGTTTTGACAGTATAGCAATTGTCAATTTTAGCTTATTGTATTTTGGGTGTATTAGGGCACAACAAAGCCTTTCTGAAATTACTGAAGAGGAAAAAAATGTAAATTAAAAAAAGTAGTTAAATCCATGCACTGAAATAAAATTGCTGTAGTGGGATTTCATAGAAAGGCTATCTACACTTACAGGGCAGCGCAGCTGAATCACCTCTGTTTAACACCCTCCTCGCCTCCCAGCCAGCTTATCAAATCCAACCACACGCAGTAAGCATTCTCCGTATTCACCCAAACTTCTTTTTAAGCCCTCAAAGATAAAATGAAACCTTTCAGGAGAAGTGCCCTCTCACATCCTGTAATACTGTCTTAAAGGCTGCTGGCTCTTCTCTGTTGGAGCAAGATGACGTATGCAACTGTATTTGGCCTGCCAGTCTCATACATTTAATTACTATTTTATTTGGCCAGATGTTCAGGCTAATTGCAAAGCTGCAATACGAGCACTAAGCAAAATCATAAACTACTTGAATAGGCAGACTTCTTGCATACCAAAGCTCTGCATTTATGAGGTCCACCATATGCCTGAATACCAAAATCCTCACCACACCTCTCACTAACCCCTTTCAGGAGCAGGCATGTATCTGTGTGGACATTGAAGTTGGCAGCTGAAGAAGATGCAGTTGTACTGAGAGAAAAACAGGGAGCACAGTCAAATCCAGGGATGTGTTTGAATCTGTTTTCCCAGGTGGTTTATATTCCCTAGGAAACACTGTGAGCTGTATGGAAAGTTGGTTCTCCTACCACACCTCTCTAAACAAACTCTTAAACATTCAGAGAGCTGAACTCATTAGGGAATTTACAGATGGAGTTTTCAAAAGGCTGAGAAAATTCACTGAGTGGTGGTAGAATTGAGTTTACACCCAAAACAAAAACGCTAAAGCGAACTAAAGCACTTTCTTCCACACAGCTAAGAAGAACGGGTGTCTTTCTAGCTCTCTCCACCTTCTGTGTTCTCCCACTACGCAATACTGAAAGAGTCCTAGAAAAGAAATCAGACCATCATACCTAGAAAAAAACCTGCTGTAGCCATCCCTAGACTTTTGACAGCCCCATGGCTTAGCGGTGTTCCCTACCCTTGCCCCTGCTTGGTGTGTTGGAATGTGGGCTACAACGAGGACCTGCTGGGCTGTGAGCTTGCACGGCTCAGTCTACAGAAAGGACCAGCACGGGTGGGGATGTTTTTGTGTGCACTGCGTGATTGAAAGCCTTGAGAAGATGTTTGGCTCTTCATGGCATCGCTAGATTGAGGGTTGAAAGGCCGAAGGGATGGGTGGCCTTGCCAGAGCCCACCGCAGCCAACAGGACCGGGTGAGTTGGGTCAAATGCAGTACAACGGGAACGTCGATGACACCTGAAGGTAGCATCGACACGTAGAAAAGCCAGTGTTTCTAATTACTATAGAAACATTGAAGTTGCAGAGGGAGAAAGCTCAGCTCTAAAACTTGTTTGGAATGTCTTCAGGACTGTGGAATTTTTAGAGTCCTGGAAATTATTTCAGGCTTCTCTGCG